GCGCAGCATCCTCACTTCCCATTGGCCACCGGTTCTCCACTTTGCGCAGGAAGCGGTGCTCGAGCTAGGAGGGTCGTTGAAACGCGTGCCAAGGGCGTGTAAGGCACGGTGAAATCGGGACACAGCATCGGGCATCTTGATTAATTGCGAACAACCGCGATACGATGGATTTACGCGACGTTGCGTTATTCAACCGCTGTTAAGTCGCTGAAAATGTAAAGGACACGGTATCGACACGCGATGAGAAGTGCTGCGACGAAATTCATTGCCGGCGGCTTAATGTGCTCGCGATTAACAACGTCAACGCTGCCATTTGCTATCGTGCGAATCGTTGAAGCACTCGAGGAACTTGCCGTAGAAGAAGCCTTCTAGGTGCGTGCTAGATGTTCCATTTTAAAATTGATTTATACACTCGAGAGGGTGACAAATCGATGACAAACGAGAATTTGTAGACGAAGCCCTGCGAGGTTGCATTTAAAGATCTCGGTAACACGGTATTTCAATTTAGATCAATTTAATCGCATTGTGAATGCGCAGAATTAATTTCCTATGTTTGACATGTGTGTTGTATAAAACATTTGGGAAATCGTACGGATTATTATTACGCGCTTGAAGTACGAAATTTATATTTCGTATGAAATTTTACGCGGTCAAAATAGAACATTATCTTTCGCTTTGTTCTCTGTTGATCTACAGTTTTCGATGGAAAATTTATCGCAAACGTACGGAACAAATTAATAGACGATATGAACAGCCATCAGTGTAATAAATGTTTCATACGATCCTACGTGAAAATTGATTTAATGATATTTTGGATAAATATTTCTTTAATCTCTGAAAAATATGGACGACGATAAACGAAAGAAATTTTTAACACTTTAAAGTAAATGGTAGAAAAGTTACACGTTATATTTTTAAACAAACAAATGCAATATGAAGAATATGATTCTTAAACTTTGCTATATAATACCTCGTAATTATAACACACACGTAATCCATTCCTTAAAAAAAAAAAAAAAAATGTTCAAATAACTTTCATATTCATCATACTTGACATATTCTAAACTAGCGTATGTTCCGAAAAGAGGGAAACATTAAGAGGGAAATATTATTTACTATCTACTATCTAATAATAATAAATATTATTATCTTCTACATTTACTATATAATAATAAATATTATTTACTATCTACACATTAAGAGGGAAATAAATGCTATTTCAAACTAAAGTTTGATCCTCGAATTACCTTAAAGTTGAACAAAAATAACCTTCTCAAAAAAAATTATTTGCGATACATTCTGATAAAACTTTCCCATACGAATAATTATTTCCATCCCTTTAATTCCCCCTAATT